GAGAGTTACCCCTTTCTTTGGTTGCATCAATAACCTCGAAAATGTACATTTTAAGGAATCCGTGTTGGAAGCATGTACAAATAATATGGAGATAGAAGATTGAGCATCGATACCTCTAATAAAGGGATAAGGTAGCTCAACTGCCGAGCTATGCTTATATTAGTATTGACAAAGTGATTTACAAACTCTTTACTAATAATAAATGATAATAGAGTTATTAGTGCGAAACAACCAGGCTTCATCTATAAATGTTATTGTAGACCCTTTCGAAGACTTATTTAAATATCATACCAAATATGAGTTTAGATCTAATTGATTAATCACCTATTAATTCCTAACCATATGTCAAACCGTGCACACTTTTAACTCATTCAAAACTAAATAATAAATTAAATTACAAGTTTGGTCTCTAAATATTAAAAAATATMTAATATATTATTGGACTTTAAAAAGTTTCTAATAAAGTCGGTAGGTTTCAATTTTGTGTATAATAAATTGATGATTTATTAAATATTCTTTAAAATTAAATAACTTACTAAATACAAAACCAATAAGTTGGAACCAAACTTTTTACTAATATTATTCAGTTAGACGCAAAATTGAAAGTCTAAAAATCTACTAGAAAGTTTTTGAAACTTACAACGCCTATTAAATCTAATATTATCGAAAATTTAAGAATCTATTAGTCACATTTAAATTTCAAAAATTTATTAGATACATTGTTATAAAAGTTGAGAAACTAAACGGGTAATTAAATAACCCTAATATGTAGCCATGTGGATCATAGAGAGAGAAAGGACCAATCCATAATTATAAAGAAAGTCCAAAAATATACACAGAAGAATAAATCATAGAGAGATAGGACCAATCTACAATTACCCCAAAAAAAAAGTCCACAAAAATACACGTAGGATAGTCAATTTCGCAAAATTGCACCTAGGACGGTCAAATTTGGGATTCCGTAAGCTAATACATACGTGGCAAACAATTTTTATATTTTATCCTACTCAACTGATGACTAGGAGAGAGAAACTAGACCCCCACTCTTTCTCTCTCTAAACTCCCAATATAAACACACCCACTGCCGTTTGCCTTCCGTCAAGAATTAGAGAGAGAAAGTAGAGAGAGAGAGAAATGGCCGGAATTTTGAGCATCGGAATGTTGCCGGAGGACTGCGTTTCGACGATTCTGTCGCTGACAACTCCGTCGGACGTCGGAAGATTGTCCGTCGTATCGTCGGCGTTCCGGTCGGCGGCCGAATCCGACGTCGTTTGGGGGAGATTCTTACCCAACAACTACGCCCACATTCTCGCCGCCGCTGACATCTCCGGCGAGTCCCCATTTTGTTCGAAGAGAGAAATTTTCTTCCGACTCTGCTCTCCGCTCCTCCTCGACGGCGGTAAAAAGGTAATAATTAATTAAATTAAACCCACAAATTTTCCCTCCATTTAAAAATAAATAAATTTGGTTTTTTTAGTGATGGAATAATTAATTATATAATAAATCTTGTGCAGAGCTTGGAGTTGGAAAAAATTTCTGCGAAAATTTGTTACACTTTGTCTGCAAGAGAATTGTCCATAAGTTGGAGCTCTGATCCACTCTGTTGGAGCTGGAAGAACCATTCTCATTCCAGGTATATAATTAATTAAACTTTTCGCTAAATATATATTTTAGAGTAAAATAATTGAACTCTAATTAATCTTTGAAAATTTTTAATTTCATATGTTCCTAAATTTTAAAATAAAAAATTTACCCAATTACARGTCCGGTCTTCACCTCCTCTGTTTGAACTAAAAAATTACTCAATTCTTTACCATTTTATTTTTGTTGTATAAAATTGCCCATTATATTAAAATATTGATATTAAATTAGCAACTTCTTAAAATTAAAAAAAAAATTCATATATGGTGATGTGTAAAGTAAGTTAATTGAAAAATAAGACAAATTAGAAACAGCAAATCAAAATTACTGGTAACGAAATTACTGGTAACGTTGTCGTTTATTGGTAATTGTTCCTATTTCTTATTTCTCATAAATGTTTTTAAATTATGTCAAAAAGTTTTAGAAAAAAAAATCAAGTTTGTTGTTATTGTTTCCAATTTTTTTTAAATATAGGTAAAAGTATTATTTTACCATTTTTTATTTATAAAATCCATAATAAATATAAAAACTGAATATAACATAAAAAAAATGTAAAAATTTAATCTTCATACAACTTGTATCCATTTTTTTATTTAAATTTTAGATAATAAAAAACAAGCTAGAATGATTGACCTACATTTTTTTTAACAAAAAAATAAAAAGTAAAAAGAAATAAGAAATATTAACGTTACTAAAGGAATCTATATGACCAATTAACTTCATTCTAATTTCTTACTCCAATGATTATTTTGATCCACTCTCACCAGAATCTAATTCATTTCCTCTTTCAAAARAAATTAAATAATAATTGTGCAGATTTGCAGAAGTGGCAGAGCTAAGAACAGTGAGTTGGCTGGAAATTAGTGGAAAAATCAGAACCAAAACGGTGTCGTCGAATACGTTGTACGGAGCTTATCTTCTGGTGAAGATATCGGATCGGGCTTATGGGCTGGACTTGGTTCCGGCCCAAGTTTGTGTTCAAGTGGGGGATGGGGCCCAGGCCCAGGTTTCGGAGGGCAGCGTTTGGCTGCAGAGAAAAGACAAGAAAAAGGAGGATATAGAGTGTTTGTTTTATGGGAATCGGAGGGAAAGGGTGAGAAAATTGGTGGGAAATGGAGAGAAAATGGAAGAAAATGGATCAATTAGGGTTTTGAAAGAGAGGGAAGATGGGTGGTTGGAGATTGAATTGGGGGAATTYTTCAGTGGAGAAAATGGAACTGATGAAGAAGTGAAGATGAGTTTGATGGAAATCAAAGGATTTCAACTCAAGGCTGGACTTGTTCTTCAAGGAATTCAAATTAGGCCTAAACATTGATGAACTCATTAAAAAGAAGTGAAATTAGTTGATTGTATGTAATTTGATTGATTGATGTTTGATTATTCTTTAATTAGTTTTTAATTAGTTATAATCCTATCGTGTGTCAATCTAAACATGGCGTTGAGTGGTTAAGATGGATATATTTTTCCTAAAATTTAAAAAATTAGCCAACATGAAAATAGTTCGACAATTGCAGGCTTGTTCGATAATGTTTATATTTCTTGTTTTCTATTTTTGTTTCTCATCTTTAATAAACGTTTCAAAATCGTGTAGAAATTTTGGAAACAACAAAATAAAGGTTTTTGTTTATGATTCCTATTTCTTTTTTTTTTTTGAAACATGGATAAAATTATTATTTTATAATCTTTTAACTTATAAAATACATAATAAATTTAAAAAGTAAATATAACATAAAAATTTAAATTTAAATTTAAAATWTTAATTTTCATATAAAACTCACCTTTTTAATTTAAAATTCTAGATAACAACAGACAAGAACTGTATTTTTGTTTCTTTTTCCAAAGAAAAATAAAGAAACAAAAAACAGTTATCAAATACAAATTTTTACCCACATATTTTCAATAATTAAAAAAATTGAAAATTCAAATTCTAGCTCCACATCAACCATGAGAACACTTGGAAAGTCTATGGAAGAGAGAGAAATTGACATTCAATGAATTTATCAGGTTAAAGAGGGCGGGGAGGCAACAAATTATTGAGAATGTTTAGAAATACAATTTGATAGGACTCAACTCATTGAGCCGTTTATTTTCGATCAAAATTTTGAATCCACAATTGTTGATGYTGTTTTCTGTCGAGTTTATAGATTGGTCATGAGCTGACGTAGACGAACTGTCRAGGTAATCCCAAATTAACCTATACATGAAACAAACACTCYGACACCCAAGTCAGTTGCGAACTCGARCTGTATTAAGTCGTTTTCAAAGAAAATGGTGTACCTGAGACTTAGTGGAGTGTAAATTTGATGAAAATAAATAATGCATAAGGTACAAATAAAACTATTTATAGCTAAGCTAACTCTTAATTTGAATGAAAAATGAGAACTCTTGGAAAGTCCACGAGAGAGAAAAAGCTGGGACTCCATTCAGTCTATCATTTGAAATAATTAAATCTTTTTTAATTGTGGAAATAGGAAGATTTAAAAATGAATTATGATTTCTCATCAATAAACAAGTGTTAGGTTCTGCTCTGCTCGCAAACTAAACTAGCGGCAGGAAATACCGCTTTCAAATTTCACCAAACTATGCAACAAATCTAACAAACCTTTAATCTTTAATTTCATTTTTTAATTCCACTTGAAGTTGTTTCTTTATTTATTTGATTTTTCCAAGCGCGTCGCGTGGTGCGGCAAACTCCTCAAAATTAAATTAAAAGAATTTTTAAATTTAAATGATGTTAATTTATTTACTAACATATTGTAGAATTATTATTTTACAATTATCATATATTCTATAATATATTATATCTTACACCTTTTTATTTTAGCTTATAACGTAATATAATATATTTATAAATAAAATTTTACACTTCAAATTTTCAATTTCAAAATCTAGAAACATAAAAATGTTACTTTTAAAATTTACATCATCCAAAATAGTTTTAAAAAACATTTCTGTATTCCATTGACAAAATTTAATTCATTCAGTAAATCTAAAAATAAAAAACAAAATCACATGCCCTAAAATAGTGTTCAACCCTTAGATACATTAGAACCGAAATCCTCAAAGTATTTACATTCAAATTTAACAACAAAAACACAAATCAAATCAACCTAAATTAAGTGTTCAAAAAAATCTCATTCAACTACAAGAATTATAAACCTTTCTAACAAATACAAAATTAACTTATTGGGGTTATTTACCACTCATCCAAGAATAGAGTTTAGATTTAAAAAATTCAAATTGATAAATTTTAAAGTTAAAAATTAAAAGTGAACCTCTTGGTTCAAGGGTAAACATCAGACTAAAAGCTTAAAACCATAAGATAATTGGGAAGAAAGAATAGAGTCTTAAACAAGAGATTAAAGTGAATCCGATTTTGATTTTATAATAACGAAAACTTGTACTAAAACATGACCGAGTCTGGCATAATAATATTTCTGCAAGTCTAGCAAAACGTGAATTTYTTGTCTCACAAAAAAGGTTGAACATGTAGGAGAGATTAAACTCTGAATCCCCTGCTGTTTCTCTTTCCCCTTGCTCTCTCAAACTTCCTTCCCTTCGACCTCACATAYGGTTTCGTGTGGCTGTGAGGCACACCAGGAGCAGGTCCAAAGTGCTTCACTGCTTCACGGGAGTTCTTCGGTCCTCGAAGAAGAACCTTCAGAAGCAAAGATAACAGAAGTTTTTAAGATCTAAACCATCGAGCATGTTGTTTGACAAACCAAACTAAGTGGCTCTTCTATKAAGACATAAACGAATGAAATATATGGATGGCAAAGCCATACAAAATTGGTGTATCCTAAATTGGGATTTATAATCGTACCGTGTTCTGRCCAAGAGGAGCCTTCAGGGCAAGCTGATCAAACGTCAAGCATTCACCACCTGCCTTCTCAATCCTTGCCCTTGCAGTCTCGGTAAACTTCAATGCTGTAACTTTCAAAGCTGGGACTTCATAAACACGAATGTCATCGGTCACAGTTCCAACAATCACTGCAATTTTATTTTCCTGAAACATGTTAACCACCAGAAAATTTAGACAACGAAAAAAACACAAACACTCAAAGGCAAAGTCAAAATGTAAAAAATACATTATAAATAAGATCACACACCTTTCCCTTCATGAACTTGATAAGTCTGGATAGTGAAATTGGTGGCTTGTTGACCTTGCTCATGAACAAACGCTTGAGGATCACTGCATTGAAATTGCTTCCAGTTCTTCGGACAAGAAACCGGTACAGCTGAATTCAGCAAACAAGATAAAGATTCATCATTTAGGCAATTCAGATAATAAGGCATATAAATCTACAGCATAGCATGAATTGACATTGAAGAGTGAAAAAATGTATCGGTAATGATATACAAACAAACACAAAGCTCTTCCAGAACTAATTAATTCCAGAGTGTATGCCAGTTCCCTCAGAGACATAAGTTGAAGAACAATCATCATGCGATCAGTATTAGCATGGTTTAAAAAGTGAAACATCACAGGGAACAACGACAACTATCCTTCCACAAAGGCAAAAAGGAAGTCCAGATTCAATATAAAGAAGTGAAAAACAAAAATACTGAGAAAACAGGAAGCCTGCAACTCGAAGAGCAAAGAAGGTAACTATTGAAATCAAAAGGCTTTTAGGGCAGAAGATTTGGGGCTCAGATAAATATGTGGATTTTGTCCAGTCCTTGACCTTTAGAAAGTCTCATAATGAGCTGGGTATCACATATTTCATCATTGCTACGGAGAATTCCTCCCGGGTTCCAGATTGATTCACACAAACGCATTCCAAAAAAAACACAGTTAAAGAGAAAATCAAAATATTGGTTCAATCGGAAAAAAAGTACTTTGAATCTAAAACATCACAGTTAGATAGAAAATAAAATTATTGGTTCATAATTCACATTCAAAGTACAGGAGTCTAGCTTCGTTCTGGGCTCAGATAAATGTGGAACTAGTTCATTCCTTGACCTTTGAAAGGTCTCATAATGAGCTGGGATACACAGATATCATCACAGCATATAAATTCCCCCTACTTTCTTATCAAACAACCATATTGAAAATGTAATTAGGCTTGTAGATTCAAGAAAATAAACACGAGGGGAGAAAAACAAGTAAAGTATTAACAATGGCTGAAGTTTAGGATGCYGATAGCGAATTAGATTCAGAACTCAAACTAATTAACCCAGTACATATTTTTTTCATCGAAGAAACTACACAGATTTATTTCCATTCTCTGAGAAAATAAATCTGTGAATGCAAATGCTCTTTCCTGCTATGAGAACAGCGGAACCAATGATTATTAGAGACACCAACCTTGACGAGGAGCTTCAGGTAGATATCGTCGGACTTGGGCGCCGTCCTCTTCGTCTTCTTGCTCTTGCCACCTGCTACCAAATCGATCCCCTGTAAGAAATAAATGGAAAACGCATCTAAGACATTGATCTACGCCATTGGAGGAGTGAAAAAGATTGAGACAAAGAGAGAAAAAAAACCATTGGAGCTTTCGGTGGAGAATCCCTTCGCTTCTGCGCCGGCGACTGAGAGACTGAAACGAAAATGGTTCTAGGGTTTTTCAATACCCTATTTATTCATGGAAGATGAGGGAGAATTCGAATCCTGTGCGGCTTGACCTACATGAGAAGTTTAATCTTGATCGTACACGTGTACGATCAGGGAATCTACAATGAAATTTTGGGTTTTTATAATCAATTAGGTTTAAATCTCACTCTTTTAACTTTATTTCTAAATTTTGAAAATTCTCTATTTTAGTTTATAAATTTTTGGGTTTTTTCCATTTTTTCTAAACTTTTAATACGTCTATCTATCTTACTTAAATTTTAACCTTTTTAAATATAAAAGAATTTCTGTTATTTTTCTTTGATTTTTTTTTTTTGAAAAAAAATTTCTTAGATCACATTATTTTGTTTTTAGTTGTTCAATACATKGTTAACATGATATATATTTTTTAAGAATATAGCATTACATAGATGTGAGGATTGAAATGGTCGACAAATAGGTAAGTAACTAATTTCTTAAGGATTGAATTATGTTCAAATTAACAAATTATTGAGGCGAGCGTGCATTAAGCAAGTAAGTTTAAATGAGTACTAGTGGATTGAATTTAAGCGTCAAAATAATTATAGTTGCTGCATGATTTTGGCATGAGAGAGTTTACTAATGTCACACCAAAGGTGGGTATGACTGGACCAAGGTGATGACGTGCACCTAATACATTTTTCTACCTAAAGTAGTATTTAGACCAAGGTAATATCGARCTAAACATAAGTACTATAGTTTATCCAAATCCATGTTTTGTAGGTTTAGGACCTCGGCTTCCTAAACATAATTTGACCTCAYAGGGTTATCGACACTCCCAAATTTACCCCAGGTTAATTCTTAGGCTATCGATGTCGAATTTGTACTCCAAAAGCCTTGGTAATATTTCCAAAAGACATGACCTAGCTTAGTTAATGATAAACCAATGTAAATCTCACCGTGTTGTTGTAGCATATGTTGATTACGAACTACGAAGATACCTGTGATTATGGTGGTTTCTCAATTGTTTGATAACTTGCAATGTCTTGGTTATGTGCAAACATGACATTTGATCTCGATGTCTCGATTTTTAGTATATGAAGACAGAGACATGCATTAGCTTAATTATTCCACCATTTGGAAGATGGATTTTGTTCATTATCACATATTGGTAAAAAGTAAACTAATTGTTATTTTAAARTTATGACATGTTACCTATGTTCGAGTCAACGTCATATCAAACATTAGCCAAATCCATGTGTGGTTAGGGTGTTCACGAGGTGGGATGAGACGTAATTCTCCATCCTTGTAAAATTACATAAGAAATTTTGAGATCTAGTTTTCCATACGAAATTATTCACGATTCAATTATTTTATTTTTCAATTAAACATTTTTTTAAAAATAAATTTTTAATTAATTGCTTGACTCCCAAAGATAAAATCCTATTTACATGGTTTAATCCACGCACATACACGCATGCACCCACAGACACGTRCGTATTTTATGTCCTTGCCCCATTTAGGTGACATGAAAAATCTTCCTCCATCCCCACCCTATGGAGGACCTAAATGGAAATTCCTTGCCCCGTTTAAGACGGGGCATCACGGAGAAAATAGACATCACTATCTATGTGTGTTTAAGACAATCCAATATACTCAAATGGTGAATGAGATGTCACGATCAAATATGAAGGGTCCTGAATCATTTTGACTATTCAAGTATAGTCTATATATAATTAAAATCTAAATAATAATAAAAACAAAGCAAATCAAGTCTAAAACTTTTACTTATTTTGACAGTGTTTACTAAAATATAAAAATAGAATGAGTTCGAGAAATAMACCTCAAACTCATCCCCTCCTAAAAAAACATTTCTATTATAAACTTTTATTCACGTCGGTCCACGCAATTATTAGTCCAAGTGGAGAAAGCTTACAATTTACTTCTTAAAATAATGGTCGTTTTATTTTTAAACAACAAGTCGTGGATCCACTTCCGACACCATCGGTTGGGTTGGGCCCGGCCCAGCCATAAAAGCGTTCTAAAGTCACCTGCAAACACTCTTTGACACATAACGACACGTCGGAATAATATTGCGGAGCGGGCCCTAATACACCGGGTCAGATTCTTACCGACCCGATACAGCTCACAGGCTGTTTTCTTTTACGCCGCTATTTTCTCCGTCTCTGCTTCAGTACGTTCGAAATCGGAAAAAAGAAAAGAAAAGAAAAGAAAAGAAAATTCCAGTTCCCGGCAATGGCCGACGAGGAAGTGGAGCTCAACGACGAGCAGAAGAAGGAGATCGCGAAGTGGTTTCTTCTTAACGCTCCGGCCGGGGAAATCCAATTCGTCGCTAAAGGTAATCAATTACAATTCGGTTCATGTTGATGTGTATTTTGGCACATACATCTTGCACAACCATTTCCGGTGATTTTCTGTTCGGATTACATTTGTGATGCTCCGTGTTTTTCAATCTTCAGATGTCAAAAAGATTTTGAACGACGATGAGTTGTACCACGAGGCAGCATCTGAAGCTTTTCCACAGTACAACAAATCGCACATGGTTTGCATCGAAATGCCTGGCCTACTAGGAGATGTAAGTTTCTAATGTGCATAGTCTTTGTGAGCAGCTTTTTTCTTTACGGATAAGGTGGGGGAACTAGTTTCATTGATTCGAGATAATTGTAGTGAGTGTCGTGAAGAGCCTGCATTTTGTTTTCATGGTACGCGTCAGACTTGCTTTTGTTTCATTCAAATTACAAAAGGAGAAGCAAAAATTTCACAAACCAGAGTTAGTCGCGAAGATTTTGAACATATCTAGTGAAACAAAGTGATATGGATGGTTGGTCCAGTGGGTGGTTCTATAATTTCAAAAATCAAGCATTCGTCCAATTTGTGAAAGGAGTATTTGGCTCTTATTATCTTGAAACTACGTTCTAGAAAGCTTGCCCATTAAATATGTAGTTTTCTCGATCCTTCTCAGTTTTCTAATATCGTGTGAATTTAGGTGATTCTTACACCGTTCAATGAGCTTGAAGAAAACGAGTTTCTTGACCCAAGAACTGCACAAGTTGCTATAATTGACAATATCAAACAGGTAAGAGTCAAATTAATTTTTAATCTCATCAGAATAACAGTTGTATGGACATAAAAGACATTTTCAAGTGGCTAAGATAAGTATAGACTTCTCCCTTGCTTGAGATGTGGAGAGACGAAGAAAGCATGATTAAGATTGTCAGTAGAAGTGATTAACTTATTGCGGAAACTTGAATCTTATATATTATTTTGCTCACCATTTTTAAAGTTTATTACTATTCCTATTTTCAGTTGATGTTCCATTATTATGATTGAATCTGAATCATGTCATTTCGCTTACGGTTTAGCATTGTCTGTTGATTTAACCTGTATTAACAAAATTAGAAAGACCTAGCTGTTTAATTTTTATTCATGAGAAAAACTTTGACTAAATTGTTAATTACATTAGTATCTAATAATTTCTCATATCTTCTGGTTTATTCTATACATAGTGTTGTCCTTATCAGATCATGGAAATCTTACCTCCTTGCACACTCCCCCCCTTCCTTGGTCAAGCTCTGCATTCTTAGCTGTTTTATTATTTGATCTGTTCACTTCATGTTAAATTTGGTTCAGGTGTGTACTGAAGTCAGACCTGCATTGGATGAAGAACTCCCATCTGCATATGTTGAGGAATTTCGGTAGGCTTTATGACTAGTTTGAAAAAGAATGAAATCAGTGACAATTCTTGTTGGAGTTTTATTATATTAAATGATTAGATGGATGCGAGTTTTAAAATTTATAGGATATGTGATTAGGTGATAAGACACAGTCTCCTTGGAAATGAGTCAGTTTCTTTGCTTATACCGACCTGTCTAAAGTTTTTCTTTTATTTAACATCAACAGAAGTCTGTTGTGTTTAACAACAAATATTTGTACTTTTATAGCATAATTGAAAAACAATTTAAGCCATTTTTCGGAGTATGGAGACAATAGACATTACCGAACCACAAATTATGACATTTTGTTTTCTGTACAAGATGCTTAGAGTCTAGACCATTTCAGGTCAAATGAGGACCCTACACCCAAAATTTGTCTCATATAAGTCCTTCCTGAAAGCTGAAGTACAGCCATTAAGTAAGAAAAGGTTAGGAGAATATGTAAATAAAGATACGAGACAAAATGACTTGATAAAGTTGTAAAATATACCTTAAGATGTTTATCAATGGCAATGAGTTTSTTTTGTTATGTATTCTATGCTATGGCAGAGGCTCCATAGAGGCAGAAATTGCTCGATATGTTGGTGAAATGTATCCTAAAGGCGTTTACTCAATTTACTGTGTAAATGGAAAAGATGCGGATGGACCTGAATTTGATTTCGAGCTTGTTGTGGTTATTTCTGCTACTAGACATAGCCCTCAGAACTTCTGGTACGTGCATAGTCATCAAAATATGCCTCAGCAACTTCTTGACTCGTCTATTTGTCTTCTCCTATTTGTTTTCTATTCCCTCTCTTTGTTGTGATGTGTACGGTTTGGAAGAATTATGTATCATCAAGTTTCTATATTGGATTTGTTTGTAGTTGCAGAAAAYCTGATGCTTTTGGTTCATATATTGCCGAACATATTCCAATTCATTAGTGTCGATGAACTCATTTTCCAAACTCCAGATTCAGCTCCTCCTCCTTTTTTTTTTTAAATGTTTGTTGCCATTATGTGCAGTAATGGAAGTTGGCGTTCGACGTGGAACATTGAGTTTAAAAACGATTTTCAAACGATTGAAATAAGAGGGAAAATGCAGGTACTCTCTGTTACTTGATCCAAGTGTACATTTCTTTGATTTGAACCTGCTCTTTTATAATGTGTTATTAAAACCTCGTAATTCCATACTTTGGGGCTCTTTTCCTTTCTACTCTTCAGGTAGTTGCGCATTACTTTGAGGAGGGAAATGTCCAATTAGACACAAAGCATGAATGTAATGATTCAACTATCATGCAGGTCATTCCCTATTTAAAAGTGTCTTTTTATTTTTTTAAACTATTACTTCTGGTCAGTACTGTTATCCTTAGGTGGAATCAAATGCTTGATTATTTTTGCTGATTTTTACATTGGTCTTTAGAACATTCCACCATGCAGTACAGCGTGGTTATGTAAAATGAATCTTCATATGTGATAGTATGTTCAGTTATGTTATTGATATTTCTCTAGAAAATCGGCATATTCACTAAATTCTGTAATGTATTTACTTTGTTTGTGCCTCAAATGTTATTATTTTTAATTTTGGTATGCTGTACTTGGAACTTTTTATCTGTTGCTTGTATCTAGTTCTTGTGATAGAGAGATTGTTTATCTCACTATTAGAATGTATTCATTATCCAATCCTTTTCAAAATCGTTGATATTTGTTATAATTGTTTCAGTCTCCTGAAGATTGTGCAGTTGCAGTAGCCAATATTATTCGTCATCACGAGGCAGAATACTCGGCATCTCTTGAGGTTCGACATATTTTTATTATCAGTATAATTTATTATTAGCTCTCATAGAGAGATTGACTTATGCTTGTCCACTTGGCAGACATCCTATTCAAACTTGCCTGATACCACCTTCAAGGTACTCCTTTTTATTGGGTGAAAAGCTATTGCATTTCTAGAGTCTTCCAGTGGCATAAATTTTGCTTTGTTATGTCAAATGATTGTTCATCTATTGTCCCATTATTCTCACACCATCTAATCCTAGAAAAAGTGAAGGATTAGAAATTAAAAATAAAAAGTTGATTTCAATGAAATTAAGGTAAAAATTCGCCATGAACTCTAATATAATAACGATATTAATAACCCTTGAAGTATGCCGATTCTGTCGATTTTTTATGGTTGATTGCTCAATTGGAATGTTAGTTGTATGCATACTGGACTGTCAATTTCCAGTTGTCCTTCTCTGCATGCTGGACTGTCAATTGCCAACTCCATCATCTTATTATAAATTTTAAACGAAGATTTCTTTGTGGATTTGATTTTTTTCTCTTTTTTCTGGTTAATCTTATGCAATGTGTTAAGTTGGAGTTATTCATAGATTGTACAGGGGTTGCCAGATTTTCTGGTCACAGATTTTCCTCTCTACTCTGATGCTGTTATTTGGCCCAACATTATCTTATTATCTCATTTCCTTAAAATTTTCTTTTTGAAAAAAGGGGGAACTGATGTTTCTGATGTAGTTTCGGAATTTTGTGTTGCTAGAGATTTTCCCTTTGCGGTCTTAACCATCGCATGTTCTCAACGAATCCGTTAGTCATCTCGGATCTTTTATTATGCATTGCAGGATCTTCGGAGGAAGCTTCCTGTTACTCGGACCCTATTTCCATGGCATAATGCCTCGCAATTCAGCTTAACAAGAGACATTGCTAAAGAACTTGGAGCTGGAAAGTAAATGCTCAAACATCAAAAACAGGAGAGCCTTGTTCACATTACAGGTAAAACAAAGATAACAAATCTCATTCCCCTTTCATCTGCCTTTGGAGTCTTTTTTCTTTCTTTCCTCGAGTTTCGCTTCCTTGTTTCGATTTCTTCCATGTTGTATTTATTCTTATGAGTTGCTGTTGTATAGCTGGAAATGCAATGGGATCATACCGATTGTATGTGCACATAATTTGTAAAGTGATTGCTATGTGTTCTGTTTTACTGGGTTTGATTTTGAAATAGATTATAGTTCTTGCTTCATCTTGTTCTTCTCATCTTTTATTTGCTGTCCTCTTCAATTATTTTGGCTCCCTTTATTTTGTAATCCCACTTATTTACTACAATTATTGTATTGTTGTTATAGTTATTGTATAATATTCATAGTCCTTTGATTTATGCTACCCATTCAAGCTAGGTTGGATTCTGCAATGGAGGAAGAAAAAATAATAATTTAAATCCTATTTTGGTCTTGTAGTTTTAGTTTAGTTTTGGTTCATTATGGTCTACGTACTTTCAATTCTGGTTCATTTTAGTTTTTATACTTTCAAAATATTCATTTTGATCGATACTTTTAAAAAGTGACCAATTTGGTCCCTGTTCCTAAGATTTCGGCACATATTTTAGACACAATGGGAATTATTTAATGCAGATTGATGTGTACGTTTCAGTAAATTTAGCGGGTAAATTGTCGTGCTAAAATTGTGATGGATCAAAATGATCATTTTTCTAAAATTAGGAGGCTAAAGTAGATGTTTGTGAAAGTATAAGCACTACCATGAATAGAAATTAAAATAATAGGTTGAAAAATGGACGTGTTGAAATTGAACAGGACCAAAAGAGTATTTAAATTGTTTAACAAACTATTTTCATAGCTTTTTGACCATATTTCTTAAACTGTTTTTAAGAACTAAGGTCGAATGGTTTCTAAAGGCTGGTGTTATTGTGCAGATTTAAATTTTTATTCACAAAATGACCTTTTTTTGTTTCTAAGTTTTAAATGGATAAGGAGAGAGAAGAAGTTTTAAAACACTTATCTGAAAATGTTTTTTTTTTTTTTTGAGAAAATATTATCTGAATATGTTTTAATTGAATTTTTGTTCTAACAAAATAAAATAGTCTATGGATTAAAACAACACAGTATGCATTTACAGTTATTAAATGTTATCAGTGTTGTATACCTTATTTCCATGGAGCAATTATTTAATAACTTGCATGAAGATATAGTACAAATTTTTAAGGTAATTAAGAAGATACCTGCTTTAACTCGATCAATCGTATTAACTTATTCCAATCAATATAGACGACTCAATATAAACCGACTGATTAATACATTCACAACCATCCGAACTCAAATATCGAAAAATCAAATTCTTACCACATGTTCGAGTGGCAATGAGTCCTTTTTTTTTTCTTTTTTTTTTTATCCTTATTGGCATTTTATGTGATTGTGCCATTTCTCTGACTCATTCGAAGTTTTGACCTTAATGCGTTCAAGTTTATGAGTTTCTAGCTCACGTTGGCCTCTTTAAGTTAATTTTTTATTGTCATGTCGTCATTCTTTTAATTAATAATTTAACCTTTTAAGTTTTGCAGGGTTATATTTATCCCTTCAATACAAAAGAGTTAGGCCACACCTATGACTGCAAGACATCTCTACTTCACAATTTAGGTTAGGTTCTAATTCTTAGTAATGTATAAAATAATAAAAAATAAAGAAATAAAGAGCCAACTTGACTTTAGCTCGGCACCTAGTGGCGGATCTAGGATTTTACGTCAGAGACACAAACGCATATAAACATAATGGAAAAATATTTATTTTTAACTTGAACTTGATAATGTGTATCAATCTGCACCTTTTGTAATTTTCACGTGTTGCAAATTTTACCCTTCGATAAATGTTCATTTGAAAACTTATTGAAAAAAATATTATCGTGTGTTAAATGAAATAAAAATTGGTATGAAATAATTGATAGGATTCGAAAAAAATAGACATTATGAATTGATTTTTTAGCTTAAATTTATAAGATTTGACATAATTATTTAATAGTAGATTTTGTGAATTAATCAAATTTGAGAAACTTGATTTTTATTAAATTAGTGGGATTTTGTGAATTTTTTTAATTTAATAAAAGGATATCATCTCTGACATTTATAAAGTTTAGAACTATAAATTTAAATTTTGTAAAAAAAAAAAGAAGTTAACTAAAAAGAAAATAAAAGTTCACTCAAAAAACAAAAAATAATAGTAATAAAAATTGGAAAACCAGGCCAAACAGCATAATACATGGTATACTATATTTTAATTAATTAAAATTCAGGGACACGTGCCCTTGGTTTCAACGTGGATCCATCCYTATCGGCACCTATCTCTAACTTCATGACCTTCACGGAGTTTGATGTATTAAAAAACAAAGAAAAAAAGAAAGTAGGGCACACTTCACGTGGAGTGGAAATTCACTTGGCCAAATAACATTTTAATTAATACATAGTATACTATATTTTTTTAATTAAAAATTCAAGAGCACGTGCCTCTAGTCCCAACGTAGATCCGTTCTATCGGCATCTATCAATGATTCATGAATCTTCTTAATTATAGTTTTTTGATTGGAAATATATGTCAATTACTGTTGAGATATATTCACTTAAATTAATATTCCGAATTTGTTGTATTAAAAAATAAAAATAAAATGGAAAGAGAAAAAAAAGAAAGAATGAAAATAAAAGAAAGGAAGAAGACTGGCACGACTTGCTCGAGAAAACCAGAGCTTTCAACTTCCGAGCTTTCATTTGTCCATTTCCGTTTCTGAGGAAAAGTCAATTTTCTAACAAAAGATCAGTTGAACTGAATTCGAATTCTTCGAACCCATCATGAATCACCGCAATCGCAACAGTCCAAACGAGATTTCTCAACCAGTGAGTGATTTTATGTTTTCTTCTTACACTTAACAATTCAATCATTGCCCGTTTTTGAGCATCCATATATAATTCAGTCGTTCACTTCACTTCCGCAGCTCGTTTCCGGTTCGGCAATGGAAGAAATCAAGTCCGATTCCACTCCCCAGCACCGCCTCATCCCGGTGGAACCCCAGGTCGTGCTATCAGAACCACCCAAATCGAAGCGTGTTGCGTCGCTTGATATCTTCCGAGGTCTCACCGTTGCGGTACTTCTCTCTCTCTCTGCTCTGTTATCCCGCCGTGTTACTGTTGGTTCTTCTATTACTTGGATTGGTTATTGGATGATTTCGAAATGGATGATACAGAGTGCTTTTTCGTCGGGTTTTATGTGTTTTGTAATTGAGGAAAAGAGTTTGTCAGAAAAATCTCCCTCTGGTCACAATTCGTTTGGAGAAAGAGATAATATTTCTTCCAAAACCCATTTTAATGTCTTCGAGCAATTTTGATGTAGTGGATTCAATTGTAGCTTTCTGATCTTTAGTTTGAGTTGTTAGTTGTTGATTGGTAGTTAGTTATTGGTTTTCTTTGTTTGTAGTTTAACACGCTCTTTTTATACTTCATCCCTTGTGTTAGCAAAAATTGAATAACGAGGACTCTTGTAGAAGAGTTATAGACTCTTTTATGCTAGATTGCATCAAATAAATTTGATAAAACTATTAGCTAGATGTTATTCTTTTGGCCTTTGGGTTGGAACCCGTTTCTGTAGTTTGAGGTTCCTCTTGGCAGGTATTTTTTTGTACGTCTGCTTTTTGATTGCTCTTTTGTATTATTTCATTTATTCAATGAAAGCTGAGTTTCTTAATAATAATAATTGGAAAAAATTGCTACAACAACCCCTTTTTATTTTTTTTATTTTTTCTATACTTGATTTTGAAACGAAATCCATTCTCCATTATATCAGTCTCTCGAAATTACTTAATATGATGTACAGATAAAAGAAATTAATAAGGATAGTGCTTCTTGGTGGGGGGGTAAAGAAGCACAAGTAAAAAGATTGAATGTAGAAGAAAATTGGAGAACTTTTTAGTATGAATCTATTGAAAAATTAGACCAAGTTACCTACGTTGATGTGAACTTCTCAACTTCTGAATATTCTGACCTGGGTTTAGTGTAGAAGAAAATTTAGAGTTTAGTTTGCATGGTTATAATCTGACAAATTTGTTATTTGTCTCTGAGTCCTTCAGGAGCACTTGGGCGAGTTATCATACTCAGAATGATCATCACTTTCATGTAAAATTGTACAGTTACTCATATATTAGGTTGATGCTCATATAATCAGTAAAGATATTATTGAACATTGTAAATTGTAATGATTAGTATGCTATTTAATGGACCTCCTCGATGTAATGGTGCCTGTAGTTGATGATTTTGGTTGATGATGCTGGGGAAGAATGGCCTATGATTGGTCATGCACCATGGAACGGTTGCAATCTTGCAGATTTTGCGATGCCTTTCTTCTTGTTCATTGTTGGGATGGCCATTGCACTTGCCCTTAAGGTTCAGCTTCTATTAATATTTGTTCTTGATGACAAGCTATTGGAGGATGATTTAACAGTATTTATCATTCCTGGTTTGGTTTTATTTATAGAAAATACCAAGTCAACTTATGGCCATTGAAAAGATCACCCTTAGAACTTTAAAGCTCCTTTTCTGGGGGCTTCTGCTACAAGGTCAGCTTTTGCTCCAACTCTGTCATTTCAGAACAGTGCACTGAAGATTCGGTGCATTCAACTAAATCTGTCCTTCCCATGTCACATCTTGTATTTTGGAATGTATTGCTATATATCTAGAAGATTACTTTTATGTCGATCTGGTGGCAAAATTCTTGTTTTGTGAAATTTCTCCATCTTACTGCAGTCGAATTGTAAGATTTCTTATGTGTTGTACTTGTAACTTCCACTGAGAGTCTCTACGTAGGATGGTGGAGAGGATTATTTATTTGGATAAGACTAAAACCGATGTTCTCTCAAACAAGAAAAGTGGATTAGAACTGAGACATGTTTCAGGTAATAATATATTGGAGCAAGATTAAAGCAGCAAGACGATTCTTTGAGATTCTTTTCTAATTGGGAGGCTTTTATCTTTCCTTTTATAGTATATTAAGATGCTTGTACTTTATTTGTAGCTTTGCTCTTATTTTTATTTTTTCCCCTTTCACTCATCTAGGAGTTTGTATCTTTGAACAATTTCAGTTCCTTTTCATTTATCAATGAAAAATTTGTTTCTTTGTTAAGAAAAGAGATGATTGAGAGAAAATGTACACGATGCCTTTGTTTTTATGTGTCATATTCTTAACTACAATGGCTATAGACTGAGGTTTCTACCTTTTGATTCTGATATAATCATTGTTTGCAGTTTAAAAGGCTTAATTTATTTTGTCAAAATAGATTATTATCCATTCACGTCTGTAATATATTGATCAGAATGAAACACTGAGGAAGGTTTATTTGCACTGAAAGTGCATTCATATCTTATTCTTCCCCTGGCACTGTATTGTTTATTATGAACAAATGAATAAAAAGATGGAGCAATTATCTTATTTGCCATACAAATTTTGACTTTTCTTCAACAATTTTATGAAGGTGGCTATTCACATAAGCCAGACAAACTGACTTATGGCGTTGACGTGAAAAAGATCAGGTTGTGTGGCATTCTCCAGGTATTTTGATATTGGACTTCACATTTGTTAATATTGTACAGAAGTAGTTGCTAACTTCATGGAAAAGATGCACCCAATAAACGCTTGAATTATATTCTATAGAGAATTGCTTTTGCATATTTGGTTGTGGCACTTGTGGAAGTACTTTCCAGAAAAGCACAATCCAGGGATCAACCAGCACAATCCAGGGATCAACCATTCGGCCACTTTTCTATATTCAAGTCATACTTCTGGCATTGGTAACCACTTACATTACTATTGACCAAAGAGCTATCGGTTCCGGGTTATCAAAAAAAGAAAAACAAAAAACATTACTATTGATCAATTATCATTATCATTATTATTATTATTTTTCATTCTCAAAAAGAAAAAAAAATCATTATTTCTTTCGTCGTAATTTATGAATAATTTTCCTTCTTAAATTGCAGGCTGGTTGGAGCTTGTATTCTTGTTGTTTACTTCACTCTCCTCTATGGAACATATGTTCCTGATTGGCAATTTACCGTCAATGACAGTGATAGTGATTATTTTGGAAGAAACTTCACTGTAAGTTCTTTGTGACCATTCAACTTATTCTCAAATAACGAATTATCAGAGGCATTGGTAACTGCAGTTAATTTCTTTGTCCAACTTCATTACTTTAGTTTCACTGACAGACTAATTTTAATTTTTTCTTTCAAATCAACGATTTTGTGAATAGATACCATATAATGAGCATTTTCCTGGATATTATTGATTAAAATGATTTTCTTGCCAAGGGCTAGGATCATCTAAGCAATTGCCATACCAAATTTAGGTAGCATGTGGTGTTAGGGGAAGTTTGGATCCTCCATGTAATGCTGCGGGATATCTTGACAGAAAATTGCTGGGAATCAATCACTTGTATCCGTACCCTGCTTGGAGAAGATCTAAAGTGTGTATATTCGTTATTTGCTTCTCATAGAGCTGTCATAAGTTGATGACATTTACTGTTGATGGCTCATAATATTTGATACCTTTTCTTTAAGTGCTGCAGGCTTGCACCGAGAATTCTCTATATGCAGGGCCTTTTCGAAATAATGCTCCATCATGGTGTTTTGCCCCTTTTGAACCTGAAGGAATTTTAAGGTCTGTCATACAGATATGATTCAATATTATGGATTCTTGTTTATTTTAGGATTCTAGAAGGCCTTTTTTTAATAATTTTTAAATAATGAAAATCCAAGTGAGAAAAATGAAAGAATACTAAAGGTCATACAAAAAAACCCAGCAAAGGGGAGCCAAACTGAAATAACAAGCTCCAATCAAGCAAGATCAAACCTAAGAAGTAATTACAAAATACTTTGGACAGTGAACACAAAGGGAAACATGAAACAGGGCAAGGGCCCACACCTCCTCCCTAGATCTATCTCCACCTAATCCTCTCATACTGCAAACTCCGTAGAACAGCAAAGAAATCCGCCTGTGGTTTATTTAAGGATTCTTGATGGTTCAAAAACCAAAACACAAATTTTGAGTTTCTGTTTTTCCTGAATCGTATTCATATATGTGTGTTTGCTCGAAGTAGTTGGCACTTGAGCATATCAGATGGGCTTACTAGATAGAGAAGATGAAACCTTTGGACAAGATTTCTCAATTATAGAATTTGGCACATATTCTCTCTTTCTCTCTCTCTCAAATCATTTAATATTGCAGCATCCATAGTAAACAGAAAATTGAATGAAATTAAATGTTAAAGAGATGCCTACTTGTTTGTGATACAAACCAAATAATAAGACTTGGAAATTGTATTGAAATATGAATAAGAAAATACGGCAAGATATTCCAAGTATTTTGAGGTATTTAGACGCTGAAATACTTGAGATTAAACCACTAAAATATTGCCTATTTTAATCCCACCCACTCCCTTTATTAATATGCCCTTACCTTACTGTACCAATAATATTTCTAAAATTCTAGCCTAATGGTGTTCCTAAAAGTTTTTTCTTTCTGAGATGAAATATTCTGCTTTTGTTCATTATAGTTATAGTACTAGATTATTTTGAACCTCACCCAGGATACACATGCTTGCACCTGCAGTTCTATATCTTCAATTCTGTCCACAATCATCGGAGTGCATTTTGGGCATGTTCTAATACATTTTCAGGTTAGCTCTGTAACTCTTACAAGTCATTGTATGATTTCTGAGTTCTAACATGCTAAAGCCTTAACTGCTCATTGAAATGCAGGATCATTCAGCTCGGCTAAAGCAATGGATTACTATGGGATTCGCTCTTCTTATTTTTGGACTTGTTCTTCATTTCACTCACGGTGTTGCACATCACCAACTTTCAAATTTTGCAACTCTCGCCGTATTTATTTCATTTCTTACGAATAATGATATGCATCTTTGATTGATGCAGTAATTCCAATAAATAAACAGTTATATACTTTAAGCTACGTCTGCGTGACGTCAGGAGCTGCAGCATTGGTTTTCTGTGTCTTCTACTCTTTGGTACTCTGTCTTCTTCTTGAAACTACCTTTCAATCATGCCCCCACCTTAATTTAGTTGGATTTAAGGATTACAGTTAGATACTTTAATGCATATGAAGGTCTTGGATTCGGTTTCTTTCTCCAGTCTGCCGATTAAGAGTTTGTTTTTATGATGAATGCAGGTTGATATTTGGGGTCTGAAGTACTTGTTTCTGCCATTGGAGTGGATCGGGATGAACGCGATGCTCGTGTTCGTTATGGCAGCAATGGGCATTTTTGCAGGATTCATCAATGGCTGGTATTATGAAGACCCCCACAACACACTGGTTTGTTCTTTTCTTTATTGTTTTAAAAATAATTTATACTTTTAGTTGTAAACTATAATTGGTGAATTATGTTTTTCAATAGAAAAGTAAATGAAAACACATGAACAAAAGATAGAATTCCATATGACTTCAAAAATAAAAAAGAGGGAAAAGATCAATTTTGACCCTTGGCAAAGTATATCAATTTTTTCCCCTAAAATTTCAAATTTCATTTTATCGCATCTTAAACTTGGATAAGTGTTGCAATTCTCACCTTAAATTTTTAAAATTATAGTAATTTTTACCTTTACTTAAGTTTTCATTCGAAGAACCACTGAGAAAAGTATTCTTACGTGAGTTCAATGAATTTTATATATACTTGGTATGAAATTGATGAGATTGAGTAAAAAACGACCTTACAACTGGTTTTTGTTGAAAACTTTCTAAGTTTTGCCAGAGTTATTTAATGGTATGGTATGTTTTGGGTACTAATCAAACTTAATTTTGTGCAAAACTCGATCTTCATTTTATTAATGAGTTTTTCACATTACTTTTGCTAATTAGTGGGTGAATTATCAAAAATTGAATAAAGAGTAAATTATCTATATTTAGGGTTCAGTTTGATGAAATTGAAACTTCAGGTGAAATTTGATACTGCTGGTCAAGTTTAGATGTAAAATTTGACTTTTTCCCAAAAAATAAAAATAGAAAATGCTTAGGTATGGTTGGCTCATTGTTTCAATCCACTCGGGTTTAGGAGACCTAATTTTTGTGTTTGGATTGTGTAAATACACGAGATGTAGAAACATGGTTTTATGTTACTTTTTTTACTTCCACTCGTGTTTGATCTATGAAAGCTGTCCCAGACGCTCACAGATATAAGGAAAAAAAAGTGTTTGATTTGTGAAAGCTAGAATGAGGTAGAAAATGAGTTTTATAAATTTGGGTTTATGTATTCTTTGAGATTAACACATCCTTAACTTAACATAAGTACCCCGTACATGATAAACGACTTGTTGATTACACAAACTGACCCCATAAGCCAAAGTAGAAAAAGAAAAAAAGTAATTTTTCATACAATATAATTTGCATCAAATCCAGCATCCTCATCCACCATAAACTTGTCATCTTAGTTTAGTTTATCATCAAAGTTGGACTGATCGAACGTTCCCAAAGATTCCAAACCGTAAACACCGTCTTCTTCGACCTTTTTGTTTCTGTTTCATGAGTTTGTTCTAATAGATTATTATCTGTTTAACACTTGACATTATCAATGGCAGATATATTGGATAAAGAAGCATCTTTTCATTGGAGTTTGGCATTCAAGAAGAGTGGGCATCCTCCTCTATGTAATCTTTGCAGAGATCTTGTTTTGGAGCATTGTCGCCGGGATCTTGCACCGGTTCCGCTTATACTGGAAGCTATAAGAAGACACTTTATTTTGKGGCATTGTTGTCGGGATCTCACATCGACTTCGCTTGTACCGGAAGCTGTAGGATAGTTTTTGATTGTTCTTGATGCTGAAACTCTGTCTCTCCATGAACAGATTATCTTCTGTGTACTAAAAAGAATGGTTAAACTGAGTTCTGATGTTGTATATTTATTATGTATTTGGGGACGTATTTTAACATTTTTCTTTCTAGTTAGGATCGAACCTTCAACGATAAGAAAAGTAAGAGTTGTACTTCTATCCACTGAGTGATGTTTGAATTATGGGAGAACCCTAATTTAATGGTTATAAATGTGGGGAGTTTTCCCACGGAGGTAGTTAGGGAGAAAATTTTTCATCTAGCATACTAGAGTTTCTGCAAAAGAGTTCGTAATAATATAGTAGAAAATTTTCATTTAATTTTATTTTTTTAAATATTGTAAAAATATATATGATCAGATGTGTTTTTTTTTTTCTGTATAAGCTTATTTCAACCATATTTACCAATTTTATAATGGCAAAACAATTTTCAATAATTGTTTAAAAGAAAAAAATTGTTTATATTCCTAGTTCTTTGAACAATAAAATAATGTTTAATCAAATAATTATTGATCAAATATGTTTTTTAATCATATATAAATAAAATTTGTTCATACTCTTCGTTCTTTGAACCGTTAAGCTGTTTTATTGGTCAAGTGTATTATTTATCATCCTTTCTTTGTCATTTGGGACAATTTTCTTCTTTCGTGATTGTGATGGTGATACCTAATCACCACTCTTCTAATGTAATCCCGGGTGATCATGTTTGTTTTAGATTTAGATGCAGTATTTCTTGGTTTGAAAAGGAAAAAAAAAAAGTAAAAAAAATTCAATAATTGGATATTTTTCTTTACCAAAGGCCCAAATCGTTAAAGTAGGCCCATTAAATTGTCGGCCCAATTAGCCCTCTTCTATCGCATGTGGACCATTGTCCCCATTTCTTCGGCGACAAGTTAGCTTTGTCTTTTACCTTACCTTCTTCCCCTGGCCTTCTCCATTTCTGCTGTTCTTACATCTTCGTTTAGTTTCCTTCCAATTTCTGTGTCTCCAAATAGTTTCATCCAAATGGCGACGGCTATGGTTGAAGATTCCAACTTCGAAGATGATCAGCTTGCTTCAATGGCCACCGATGACATTATTAGGGCTTCGCGTCTGCTCGACAATGAGATTCGGATTCTCAAGGTCCCGTACTCTTCTTATCACTCGTTTCCAGTCATCTGTCTCTACTACAATTCTGTTTGTATGTATGTATGTATGTATTACATTTGGAGAGTTCTGATTTTCTGACTGGTTATGGGAGTGTAGGAAGAGGTGCAAAGAACAAATCTGGAGTTGGATTCATTCAAGGAAAAGATAAAGGAGAACCAGGAGAAGATTAAACTCAATAAGCAGCTGCCTTACTTGGTCGGGAACATTGTCGAGGTATGCTTACAGCTTACTCTCAAACTAATTTTTTTCTCTAAAGAATTATTTGTATGTGCATTTCATTTTTTTTCCTAGCAGCAAACCCATTTCTACTTAGCTAGATTTTGTACATGAAATGAAATCAATTATGTCTTTGCGTCTTGCAAAGGCTGGTGGACTGGAGTTGGTCAAATGTATATAGAAATATACAGAAACTAAACTGGTTTATTATGAATTCTAGCATGCATGTGAGCTCTAGTTGGAATTGTTTCCGAGCTTGATATTATACATCAACCAAAGAAAATGTGAGGGAGAGAATCCTTATTGTTTAATCATGAAGTGGGTTCGATGGAAATTATGCTAGTGGATATAATGAAATAAAGGACTATAAGTTACTTCCCAGGTGATCAAGTGATCTTAGTATTTATTTATGCTTTATTTTTGGTTTTTCTAGCCTCTATTTTTGAGCCAGAAACCTCAAGTAATTAGGCATTTTTATTTGGTTGACTCCATGGTGAATGAAGGTGATTTTATACAGTTATCGGTATATGAGGTTTAGAGGGTTCTATGCAGTCATTTTTAATTAAGAATAGCTGGTTCTCTTCCTTGAAATTTTCCATCTAATGATGGTTAATCATAGATCAATTGTTGACTTTTTATTCTATATCCTCTTGGAACCACAGTTGATGTGTTACTTTTAGTGCTTCTAAGGCCTATTTTCTCTCATTTTTAGTGGCCAAGTAGGTTTTTGTTTAGTATTTGTCCGCATTGGCTGAACTCCTGGTTTTCAACCGATTGTTTTTTTTTTCTTTTCAGATTTTAGAAATGAACCCAGAAGATGAAGCAGAAGAAGATGGTGCAAATATTGATCTCGACTCACAAAGGAAAGGAAAATGTGTTGTACTGAAGACATCCACTCGCCAGGTTTGCTATGACCAGATTTTCTTGTATGATCATAATATAATCCACTTTTGTGTCAATGTTTGTATACCTCTAAAAGTTCCTTACAACTAATATTTTATTTTTAATCTGGCAGAAATATAAATTGATGTAATCTTCATTAAGTTAAAATCAACATAAATTTTTCTAACCGATTGCTTTCATTTGACATAAGCTGTAAGAAATTGTAAAGAATTTTATTTAATTATAATTTTTTCTTGGCTGCAGACTATCTTTTTACCTGTTGTTGGGCTTGTTGATCCTGACAAGTTAAAGCCAGGTGACTTGGTTGGTGTAAACAAGGATAGTTACCTGATTTTGGATACTCTGCCATCTGAGTATGATTCTCGAGTGAAGGCTATGGAGGTTGACGAGAAACCAACTGAAGACTACAATGACATTGGAGGGCTGGAAAAGCAGGCACTTTCAGACTCTAGACATCTGTTCATTAGTTTGCTGGTTATGTTGGATGCCATTTACAATTGCTTGTTATATTATTTGCACAGATTCAAGAACTAGTGGAGGCCATTGTCTTACCCATGACCCACAAAGAGCGGTTTCAGAAGCTAGGAATTCGTCCACCTAAGGGTGTGCTCTTGTATGGACCTCCTGGCACTGGGAAAACTTTGATGGCACGTGCTTGTGCAGCACAAACAAATGCTACCTTCCTGAAGTTGGCTGGCCCGCAACTTGTCCAGGTACAGATTTGTCTGTGCAAAATAGTTATTTGATCACTGAACCTTATCGTCTTGCCTGTTTTATGAATTTTCACTGTTACGCTAGTTTTCTTTGCATCATACAGTGTTAATGAAGCTAAAATTTCGTTTCAAAAATGAAAAATTCTGTTCTATTAGGTTATTTTTGATGTATCTGATGCTATTGAATTGGCTTCATGTGTTTTTATGCCTTTTTATCACTCTTTCCTTTTAGATGTGTCTATTAGCAATTTAACTTGGAATTATTGCAGATGTTCATTGGGGATGGAGCAAAACTTGTTCGAGATGCTTTTCAGCTTGCAAAAGAAAAATCCCCATGCATCATTTTTATTGATGAAATTGATGCTATTGGAACAAAGCGATTTGACAGGTCTGTTGATGCTTGTACTAGATATTTTTATAAAGCTCTCTTAGATGATATATTTATGTATTATTTTTCTTTTGCTTCAGCGAAGTAAGTGGAGACAGGGAGGTGCAGCGAACCATGTTGGAGTTACTCAATCAACTGGATGGGTTTAGTAGCGATGAACGCATTAAGGTTTTTTTTGGTTCTTTTCTTGAATTATTTTGATGTGAATCACGTCATTGTTTTACCTCAGGGAATGCTGGGTTTATGTTGATTTGATTAGCACTTGACTTGTACCTCAAAAAATCTCTTTGCTTTTGGGGCTGAGTTGTATTTTTCATGATGTTTGAATCTCATTTTATTAAATTAGATCTCTTATAATTGCAGGTTATAGCAGCAACAAATCGTGCAGATATTCTTGATCCAGCACTCATGCGTTCTGGTCGATTAGATCGGAAGATCGAATTTCCTCATCCCACTGAAGAAGCAAGGGCTCGAATCATGCAGGTTTTTATGTTTTTTTTTTTTTTAGTTCTCATGTTGCCTTTTGCCTTGTAATTTTTTGTCATTTCATAATCGTTGCAAAACACAATTGTAGATCCACTCAAGGAAGATGAATGTCCACCCAGATGTCAACTTTGAAGAACTAGCTCGGTCCACCGATGATTTCAATGGTGCGCAACTAAAAGCAGTTTGTGTCGAGGCGGGCATGTTGGCTCTTCGCCGTGATGCAACTGAGGTGATTTCTCTCACACTCATGAATGCACATACACATGATTAATCATGTCTTTTAGATATATGTAAGGGGTCTTTGACGATACAGTGATGAGGTGGTAAAAATCTGGAACAGACGTTTGGGGAAATTTTTTTCTGGGTGGAAAGCTTATTTGATATCTCTTGAAATCTCCGTATAGAATAGTGGGGTTAGATTTGATACCATACCACGAATAGGAAAAAAAAAGGAAAAAGAAAAGGTATGTAGATGACGATGTGGGATCGAGCTTATGGTGCTTGAATGAAACTCTTTATTTGGCTTTCATTTTAGAGAATAATCTGGAGCATGCACTTACAACTTTTGAAGTAATGGATTCATTTGATTGTTTCTTTTTCTTTGGAACAATCAGGTGAACCATGAGGACTTCAATGAAGGTATCATACAAGTTCAAGCCAAGAAGAAATCAAGCCTGAATTACTATGCATAGAGCTATCAAACATCAACCAATGGTTGTGGCCATGGCAAATCCAGAAACAAATGAGCGAGAAGTTCGTCAACACAGACCCGACATTAGAAGCTCGGCTTCTGTGCAGTTCAGTTCGTGTTCTAAATTTGGAGGTATGATAGCCAGGCAGAATCAGATGCTCCTCTAAAGATTGTTATTTCTTCAACTGGAAATTGTTGGGTCCTTTTTAAAAAAAATTAGAATTAGTCTGTTGTCTGATGTGAAAACTGAGAGAAGCTTTTAGATCTTACACCAGCTGATAGATGTGTTTATTGTTGGTGTTGTAAGAAAGTTTGTAAGTTTACGCGGAATGCTTCTGGTGAAAGTGCTTAGGGTGTGTTTGAGAGTGATCGTAGGAGTGATTTTGAAAAAATAAATTTAAGAATAATTGATTTTTCAAAATCACCATCCAAGTGATATAAACTAATTTTAAATGATTTTATGTTTTCTTAAAATTATTTTTTGAAACGATCAATGGAAATGTAATTGATTTTGGTAACAGTGTAAAAATCACTCTCAAACACACATTTATTTAGATCCATATCTGTCTTTTCAAAGGAACTTTGAACTTTCTTGGTAAGTGCTTCTGGTTTTTATTTCAGATGATTTCTAAGGATTATTGTCGGAAATTATATATAATTTATAAACCTTGAAGATAATTATATAAATTTGTATTTGCATTAGATTTTTGTACTAGAAAAATGAAACACGACTCAAAAAACTGTTTTAAAAAGTGTTAATGTTGTCATGAGAAATTGTATGGAGAGATGGAAAGAAAGTGGGTATGAATGTCAGATATTTAGGCTAATTTGGATAGAGTGAACTGTAAATTTTGATTATATTGCCATTAATTATTGGGTACAAAATTATGCATATTTAATTAAATTTTAGATTATATTTGATATTAATTAAAGTAAATAATTCTTTTACTAATAATAAATAATATATATAAACAAATGTGTCTGTGGAGCCTTCTCATTAATCCGAAAAACATAAATTTATAATTGCCAACTCTGTTTTTGGGCCACAGTTCATAAAAACATGAAAGAAAAAGGTAAAAAAAAAAAAATGAAGTAAACATGGGATTGTATAATAAATGGAATTCTTGAATTTCATTAATGAATCAATAAGGACCTAACTAAATCCTAACTAAATCGTAAAGATTTAAAAATAAAAAAACATAAATATAAACCACACGAACTAAATTTAAAAAATGCAGTGCAATTTTGGGAAGATGTCGTGGATGAGCCAATATGCCATGAATTTGTAAGCTTTTTGCGTCAAATGGATTCCATCCCAACTTATATGTTCATGAGGGTTTGGACAAACTGGTACACCAGGAAGTCCGCAAATCTTCATGAGGTTAAAGTTGTAGTTGCCTCCAATCCCGCAACATGATTTTTGCAAAGAAGCTTCATCAAATCCTGCTCATATAAATATGGTTGGGAAACAAAACATTAGTAATTTATAGAAGAACAATACCAAAGATCTAAACTTTATTTTGTAAAATGTAGAATAACATACCGAGCACAAAAGCATGACGAAGAATCCAAAGCAATGCATTATAGTAGTCGCCATATACAATAACAGTATGTGGATTCTCCCTTTTCAGTACTTCAATGGCTTGCTTGATTTGATCATTGTGATAACTGGCCAAACTATTCAAACCCTTCAAACAATGAAGTTCATCATAAGCGGTTGTATCATTGGTTTGGAATCCGGTGAGATAGATGGGTAAACATCCAAT